AACTGTGTAGACCGAAATCTTGAACAAAACCAGTTTTTCTTTGTATAGCATCGAAAGATGACGCGTTTCCCTTGTTGCAACATAACTGAACCCTTTAGTTGCTTTGTCGTGCTTTTCAGTACAAACTACATGCTTTTTCGTCCGCAAACTGTTCTATCCCATCTTTTCAGGAGTTTAAATTACCTCATATTTTTATTAGGTTTTTAGTTCTTTATTTCGAGGCTAAATTTATACAGTTTCACTGATGTGAAACAAAGCAGAAGTTTGAATCAGAATACTATATATCCTTGACGGAAAGAGTGATGAAACAGTATTTTTAAATAGTGTTTTTCGAATACGATAAATTCAAATTGTATCTTCTAATTCTTTTTATCTCGGTAATTTTTTTTTGTTATTAAATTTTGTTTCCTTTTAATTCAATAATTGCCCGATATATCCAGGGCCCGCGGAGCAGTTTTCAAAGTGCGGGGACCGATCCACCTCTTTTCAAGTAAAGTTTGGGGAGGGGGGCAAAGGTTGTAGGGTTGTGGACTTTAAAAATGGTTTACCTGGTGCCGACTCAATATTTTCTAATACAGTGGCAACTCATCAATCATGTTTTTTAATAGTTTAACAAACGAGAAGGGAGTTAGTAACAAAACGGTGTAAACGTGCACAGCAGCATCATAATGTTCGCGTGTTTCATTTACTTCAAAAGCTTGTCCGTTTTCTCTTTGCGGCTTTTTAGAACCTTTCTTTATTCATTGTCACGGAATGGAGCCATGTTTTAGGCGGTTTTAACCTTCGAGCCGCCGAAATTGACCTTTTCATGCTGCGGTGGTTGCAGATTTACCAGCAGAAGCTTGCAGATCGGGACAATTTCATTTATCATGCTCTGCAATATCTTGATATTAAAGTGTGAAAACATGGAACGGTTATCCAGAAATTTTTAGCTCTTCTCAAGCTTTAGAAATTTCTAGGCAATATTTGCTCCTTCGAACAGTTATTTTACAGAATATAGTCGCTGGGTGCCCCTGAGTTTTGTAAAGATAGTCGTTTTCCGTGAGGATCACCATATGCATGATATAGGATCGAAACGGACCAATCATCAATTTGGATGCTTCGGCGAGGTCTGCAAGTCGAATATTCTTACTCCATCAAAGATTCCTTTTATTTGAAAATGTGTTTTTCTTTTCTTTTCTTTTTTTTTCTTCAAAAAGTGGGGACTGTGTTTCAAATTACGCCAGCTGGCATATTTTTTTTAAGTTCTTTTTCTTTTTTGACCGTCGCATGTACGAGTCAGTAAATATATTTTCTTTGTTGCTATCTAGACTGCAAGGTTATCCCAGTATAGAGCACCTTTATCTAGCCGATTCATCGCTTGCAAGATTTGGTTCATAGAAGCACTTATCTATTTACGACTTTGTCCTCAGAAATTTTGTTTTCTTCTAATTCGATCCAGTAACTGTCTGATATATTACAGAATGTTTCAAGCGCATCAGTTGTCTAGTTTTTGTTTATTTCATGTAGCATGCATGTATACGACTGAGGAAGAGCCAGCAAATAAACTTTACCTTTGTTGGTTTTTAAATACGACTGCAAGGTTATCCCTTGTAGACCAGTTTATTTCTTTTATTTGGCCGCTTCATTGCTCAAGAGTTGGTACATAAAAGCACTCTTATTTATGACTTTGTCCATTCAGAATTTCACTTAAAATGTTTGTGTAATATTATTACTATTTTATCGCATTTTTCTCGGTTCTCAGAGACTGTACAGTTCGTTATTGGATTGCGTTCAGAAAGTGCTGATTTTAGCCATTTTTGACAGAGAAAAACCACTTGTTTTTCCATCACCGACATTAATTTTGCGCTCCCTCTATAAAATAAACGAAAACCACCGGGTATTGCATGGAATTTTTGTTTTGAATACAGAACAAAAATCATTGAAAGCTTATGGCAACAGCAACATGCGTGTTAGCAGACTCTACTGATGTATCAATTAATCTGTATAACGACAGACTGGGGCTCAGTCTGACCTCATACACTCAGCTACACTGCACGTCTGGTGGATCAGTAGGGTTACTACTTATAGTTAGCCTAGATGACCAATTTTGATTTCTCTGTTTCACGGTTTCCGCATCTATGGGACGATACATTTTATGTAAAAAGTGAATTAAGGGAGTTATTGACTGGAAATAGCTCTGAAAATTGTAGTAACATCAAACGTATTTGAGCCTGCAGCTGCTTGAATCTTTCTCTAAAAATACATCAATATCGGGAAGATAAAAAAAACTGTCTTATATTTCGTTTTTTAGATGTTCTTGAATCGCGGTTTCTTCTTAGTAAGCTTGAATGCGGGCTTTTGACACTGACTTTGGTGCGATCCAATAAACTCAAGAATGGTCTGCAATCGGATAAATTTCCTGGGGGTATTTCTTTACCTAAGTTGTCCCCGGGGTATTATTCCGGCTATATAACTTACTGATAGAATCATATAGTTATTCCTATTATATTATAGCTATGCCCGTTGGGTATGTATATAAGCTGTATGGCTATACCCCTATTGGTCCGAAAATGGTGGAGAGAATTTATCCCCAGTTTTAAGCTGAAATAGAACAGAGTAAGGAAAGTCACATTTTTTGGTGTGAAATAGGGTAAGGGATTTAGGAATTATATTACGGCGCACAGCCCCACCGCAATTTTCCAGGGCCTCCTCATCCCACCCCGACTCGTGGTTATGCATCGGTTCTCCTTCACCAACGAAATTCATTAACATTTTTAAATGTCCATGAATATTATTTAATATTTTTATATGTCAATGAATATTATTCAATATTATTTTATTTTTACAAGCTTGGACGATGGCTGACATGACAACATTGATAGTTATCAGTTCCTTTATCATGTTCCCAGCTGTGATGATGGCACAGGAAGTTGTAAACCATGGAGGTAATGACTAATGACATCAGGACCAAAATTTTATTGCGCACCTGTTTGTAGGCATTATGTTTAAGCACCCTGTCGTTGTTTCATATACAGAAAGCTGTCAAAAATCATTCTGAAGTAAAAAAAAACCAAATGAAATCATGATTTTTACACATAAATAATGTGCGATCAAGACTTCAAAACCAGCCAACAACTTCGTTCAAGACTGATCCTCTGTTTTACTTTCTTAATAGATTTTAAATGAATTTGTATGTTAGAAAATCGTGCTATTATTATTATTATTATTATTATTATTATTATCGTCATATTCATTTTTCTATTGTTATAAAATTATAATTATTCCTGTTCCAATACTACCGTGGCGAAGGTTTATAAAAGGGAGCTTATAAAGCAACAACGACGGCGACGGTTACGAAAATGTCAATAATGATATCTGTATTGTACTCTGGTTATTGACCTGATTGGTTAATTAAGTCTCGATGTGACTGGTCTTGTGTCAGTTAAGCCGTGTTGTTATTGGCTATGAAGACTCGGGTCGTTTCGATCGGTCTTTCGTCACAGTTTAACAGCGACGATCCAGCGACAAGAAATGGTGATGTCAACAATCACACTTCTTATTGCTGAACACCATTTACAGACGAAACATAAAATCTACCGGGACTCTGCAACACGTATTACGCATTCTACAGACTACCATAACTAGCACTCATTTTAGAAAACTGGCTTACTAAAGTAGTCCAAAAGCCACTGGAATGGCAGTCAACAGGCACGGTACAAACGACTTATGGCGGACTCAAGCAAAACTGACAAAAACAGAAGTGACTTTATAGGCAAGAGACAATTTGAATAACAATAAACGACTGTAACAGCAAACGACTTTGACTATGAAGATGTGAAGATGACTACCCGACACAGTCCTATTCAGGACTACACCCTGACGATCATGCTCCATCTACTTATGGATTTATAATTACTATCCATTTATTGTTTTGCTGTTTCGCAGTTTGTCCCGTTCCGAAGAATAAAGAAGAAGAAGAGATAATTAAAGAGCAGGAAAGAAACAGAGAAGAAATGGAAGAGATCATGAGAGAGATTGAAATCAGTTGTTTAGGTGAGTGATAAAAAACCATGGGATGAATAATTAAGTACAAGTAAAAATAACTTAAGGAGGGTTGGGGTCGTTTTTGTTATACAAAGAACAATGTAAATTATGCATTTCTGAACCCGTTCTCTTCATTGGAAGCGTTGTCGCTCGTGGGAAGAAAAAATCCCGCGCGGATACCCGGGGGTGGGGGGTGTACTCTGGATTTCAAGGGACAGATCCTCAAAGCTTTTGTTCCAACGCCTACTCTCCATTGTATATACAACGCTCCTCATTCAATCTCAATTCGATTATAGTGATATTGTCTGGGGTAATTGTGGAAAAACTTTGTTTGACAGGTTACAGAAGCTTCAGAACCGTGCTGCTCGTGTTCTAACCTTTTCTAGATATGATGCTTATGCCAACCGCTTATTTAAACAACTTAATTGGAAAGACTTGAGCACTCAGTTTCAAATACAAAAAGCCCTAATGGTTCACAAGTCTTTAAATGATCTTGTTCCTGGATATTTATCCTCTAAAGTGTTAAACGATGTGAAACGCGCTACTCTCTAAGGGACTCTGTTAACAAACTGAGTGGAAACTAACTTCATGAAGAACAGCTTCAGTCAAGCGGAGACGTGATATGAGAGGGCTAAATTTTTAACAATACCAATTAACTACACTGAAGCACACGTACCATCCCCGCGGTATGACCAGTACCTTATGCATGCGCACAACCATATCACCCGAGCAGTGACAACCATGGGCAGCTGGGCTGCCCTTATTGGGGCTCATCAGCTTGGCATAGCCGTTGGGTTAATTAGCGGGGGATAGCCGGCGTATCAAAGACCATTAGACTGCGAGCAGTCTCTCTTTTTCTTCCGGTGTTTAGTAGGGGGACTGCACGCGCGCGCGAGCGGCGAAGCCGCGAGACGCGCGAAACGAGGGCGGCAGCCCGAGAAGAAAAAGAGAGACTGTCCGCTTAGCCAGGGCCAATGAAATACGCGTTGGCCTCACAACGCAAAATAGGATTGGCTGATGCGCGAGGCGTTGACATCGAACTGTCAACAATCGAAACCATTGACAAGTTGATGATGGCTGAAGCACTCCAGGAATGTTTGTCACGTTTCCCGAAAATTGAAGCTCTAAAAGCCGAGCAACGTGAAGCATTGGAATCTCTTATCTCCGGTCGTGACGTTATCGCAATTTTGCCAACTGGTTTTGGGAAAAGCTTGATCTTTCAATTGTTTTGTGAGGTAAAGCTCGCCTCGAACCCAAACACGTGCATCTTAGTGGTTGCCCCGCTAAACAGCATCGTTCAAGATCAGATCGATGAACTGACCGAACTTGGTTTCACTGCCGTGCATTTAAAAGAAAACGATCCAGAATGTATGAAAGATGCTGCTGAAGGAACGTCCAACTTCATTTTCTGTTGCGCTGAACGATGTTTATCGGAAGAGTTTAAAAGTTTGTTGAAGTCGAGAGAAAAAGGGCCAGACATCCAATTGGTGGTCGTGGATGAATGTCATACGGTAGAAACATGGTGAGTACAAATTTCGTTTTTCGCATAGATTTTTTAAATCGTAAGTTTATTTAGCAGTTTGTTATATTTAAAGCTTGGAAAACTAGTACGTACTCGCCCTTTTTCTCGCACATTATTGAACAATTATGAAAGTCTGTATCGTTTGTTTTAATGTACAGTATGTGGTCCTTGGTCCGCGCAAGTCCCCGATGCCCTTGGTCCGCGTCTTTTCCGAAAATGATAAAATATTTCGTCAAGAAAAAAAAAAACGTTGAATAATGAAAGATATCGTGATTTACTGATTAGCATTCTTTCATATGACAAAGTTTCAGCCTTCTTGCTGCGGGTGAAGACGCGAAATTAAAGTTTGTTAACAGGTAGGTTAATTTGTCTTTCTTGAAGTTTGGATTTTTGCGGCACCGTAAATTACGTGGTCAAGTTTACTTAGCCTGCGAATAACTAAAACGCAACGGGAAGACTTGCCTTTTTGCAGAACATGTTTTCAGATCAACTTATTTCTGCTGTTGGAAGCATATTGCTGTAGACGCTGAATTTTTTGTTTTAGCGACTCTTGAAAAATATCACCAAATTTCGCTCAGCGGTCCTTGGTCCGCGTCCTATGACCTTGGTTGAATAAAACTTTGCAACGTAAAAAGCGACGCCCTTTGTTTTCGAAGAATGTTTTGAAAGTCGTCCCTATACATGTCTACAAGTTCTCTTTTTTAATACCTCGAGTACATACAAAGTTTTTGGTAATTATTTTCGACCGCGCTAGAAACCGCTCGTCGACGCTCGTGTGGGAGACTCGAGGAGACTGTTGTCAGAAGTCTTTGAAAGAAAAGNAAGTTTCAGCCTTCTTGCTGCGGGTGAAGACGCGAAATTAAAGTTTGTTAACAGGTAGGTTAATTTGTCTTTCTTGAAGTTTGGATTTTTGCGGCACCGTAAATTACGTGGTCAAGTTTACTTAGCCTGCGAATAACTAAAACGCAACGGGAAGACTTGCCTTTTTGCAGAACATGTTTTCAGATCAACTTATTTCTGCTGTTGGAAGCATATTGCTGTAGACGCTGAATTTTTTGTTTTAGCGACTCTTGAAAAATATCACCAAATTTCGCTCAGCGGTCCTTGGTCCGCGTCCTATGACCTTGGTTGAATAAAACTTTGCAACGTAAAAAGCGACGCCCTTTGTTTTCGAAGAATGTTTTGAAAGTCGTCCCTATACATGTCTACAAGTTCTCTTTTTTAATACCTCGAGTACATACAAAGTTTTTGGTAATTATTTTCGACCGCGCTAGAAACCGCTCGTCGACGCTCGTGTGGGAGACTCGAGGAGACTGTTGTCAGAAGTCTTTGAAAGAAAAGCAGATTATTTTATGCTCACAACATCTTCCGAAAAAAACTTTAGTTTAATTGCATCAAGAAAAGAAAAAATACAAGAAATACTGTGAAAATCACATTTTCGTGAGGAAACTATAACATTTTTACGTTTTTATCAGGCTGCTTACCTGAGACGCGGACCAAGGACCACATTCGCGGACCAAGGACCATCGAAAACGGTCGCTTTTTTGCGAATTCCAAGCAAAATATTTATGTCTGGAACTTGAAATTTCAGGATTATAGACAGGAACATAAAAGCTATCTTCAGGGAGTATTTCAGCTCGTTACATGAAGATTTGGGTAAGATATTCAAGTTAATGACTTTTACACGCGGACCAAGGACCACATACTGTACGCCTCAAGTTTGCTGCGCTCCGTGTTACGCGGTTGTTGTGTATATCGTAAATGTTATTTTCCAACTCGACTAAAATTAAAACGCGTTCGAGCTGACAGTAGTTTTTATCTTTATAGGGGCACTGACCAAAAGAAAGGGAAGAAAATGACAATACCAGCCTTTCGAAAAGATTATGGCAATTTGTCAACTCTACGATCACTTTGTAAACAAGGTAAGCTTATTGAGCTTTGCTGAGCCTTATGTGAATTAATCGATATAGCTTGACCTGTTCTTCTTGTAACGAAAAATTAGGTAAAATCTCCGTACAACTCCGATTGTTATCTATAGATGTTTTATTTTTACTCATTCTAACCATTTTTATCGCAAGGCGTGGATTATTGTTGCATTCATAATAATGCATGGGGTTTTTCAATGTAAAGAAACTTGCATGCTGCATGGGCTGATAAGAAAATTGTTTGCACCCAGGTACTCCAATTCTTGCTTTAACGGGAACTGCTGGCAAAAAATTGACCAAGAAAATAAAGAAGCTCCTGTGTATGAGTACTGACACAAAAGAAATACTGGTAGGCCCTGACAGGAAAAACATTATGTACCACGTGGAACAAGTAAAGAAAGGAGAAGAAATGGATAAATTGATGTGGCTGGTAAATGTTGCAAAGAGGAATGGACTATCTACACGTAAAACAATTATATTTTGCAATACGTACAATGAAATTGCAGCAGTCTTTGTTTACCTCCTTCGCATGCTACAGGATGATGTCTATGTTCTGGGCCAGCCCAAAATACCAGCCAACAGAATAGTTGGCATCTTCCATTCTATGACTTTAAAGAAGTACAAAGACAGAGTCATGGATTCCTTTAAAGTCAATGAAGGAAATGTTCGCATAGTGCTAACATCTTCAGCATTAGGCATGGGGGTCAATTTTCCCGATGTGCGGTATGTTGTTCACCTTGGCCCGGCTCGAAGTATTCTGGATCATGTGCAAAAAACTGGTCGTGCAGGTCGGGATGGAAAACAAGCGTACAATTTTGTTATCACAACTGGTCAAAAACTTGCTCACTGTGAGACTGATGTCAAGAACTTTGCAAAAACAAATGATTGCTTCAGGAAGGCACTTTTGAAACCCTTGGATTTGCCAGTTGACAGTGTTAGTCCATTGCACAATTGTTGTTCAAATTGCAAAAAAATGTGTACATGCAATGGTAATGACTGTAGCTGTGAAGAGCTTCCTTTTACTCAGTGTAACATGAACAGTCAAGAGAAGTCGACTAGGCTCGTCACTGAAGAAGATAAAACAGTATTGGAAGAGGCACTTAAGGAATTCCAATCTTTTTTGAACACTGACCATATGACTCTTGTAGGTTGTACACATGGTTTTACTGATGAACTAATCAAAGACATAGCTATTAATGCTTCAAGCATTTTTAGCTTGGATGATATTCTTTCCACTCACCCTATTTTTTCTACTGCACATGCTCGTTTTGTTTTGAGCATATTCCAGGATATTTTTGGAGACACCAGTGTGTTTGCTGAAGACGACGATGATATCTTTTGCACAGTGGACAGTTTACTGTGTCACACTCAGTCAGTTGTGGACATAGACCATGATTCAGTAGAACACCAGTACAATTCTGATAGTGACAGTGACCCTGAATTTTTCCTTTTGATGTGAAAGTAATTTTGAATAATAGTCAGAACTCAGTGACAATTGCTGTGAGGCTCAGTGAGTTATTTATTCATTATTTAAGCACAGTTTATTCCACCAACCCAACATGCTGTGAGGTCACGGGGCACAAGGAGTTATGTTTGACCCAAATCACACGTGCCTCTCCCATCTCGCGCCATCAGTCTCGCGCGTGGCCATTTGCGTGTCTCGCGTTTTGCTCGACGGACTACAGAAAAAAGAGAGACTGCTCGTAGTCTAAAGACCATTTACTGCTGAGGCGAGTGCAAGCACTACTTTAATCGTCAGCTCCACTATAAGCAAGTGGCAGCTGTTGTTTGGGAACTGCAAAACAGTTCTCCCACGGCATGCGTATGGAGATGGCATAAAAAAATTGATCTGTGTGCCCAAATAAATTTGAAACAATACCAATTAACTGCAATGAAGCACACGTATCAACTCCGCGGCCGGTATGGCCAGTACCTTACGCATGTGCACAACCATGAGCCCCAAAAAGGGAGATACAGCTGTCCATGGCTGCCACTGCCGGGGTGATATGGTTGTGCGCATGCGTAAGGTAATGGCCATAACGCGGAGTTGGTACTGGTGCTTCGGTGCAGTTAATTGGTATTGTTTCTAAGTCTTTAAGTCAATTTAAACGATTGGCTCGTCTGAATTTCGCGGCATTGATGAAAAACTGGTTTTAGTTAGGTTAGTTATTTATAGTTTTGCATATTGTTTAGGGTAGTTAGGTTTATTTAAGATTTTTTATACTCCTGATGAATTTTATCGTGTTTAAATAAAGAATTATTCTTTTCTATTCCTATCAATTGAAATCCGGAGTACCCGCCCCCCCCTACCCTCCTGGCGAGGATGCAAAACCGGAAGTCACTGGACAGTGTAAAGGGGCACCCAACGGGAAATTTTAAAACAACAACAAAGCGTGAATAAAGCTTTCTGAAGCCATTTTAAGCATTTTGAGAGATTGCCAGGAAAAATTAATCTGTTCCTCACTCTCAGAAAGACTGACGGAAGAGTTCCCAGCCAGCAAGGTGCACCTGCAACCTACAACCTGACTTACTGGAAGTTTCCCAGCAGACGTATGTCCAGACATTACTGGCCAGTTTTGGTGTGGTCATAGGGCAAAATTCACCCCTCAGCAGTAGGGGTGGGGGAGGGGTTTCTGATCCATAACACATAGTAACTATTCTAAACATCAAATCCCCTCTCGGACAGGACATATTATTTCTTCCACATCTCCCAGCCAGCAAAAATTGGCTTGAAGAACAGATATTTTGAGGAACAGATCCTTTGGGTGCCCCTGAGTGTAGCCTAGCAGCACTATACGATGCGTCCTTTGGAGTGCAAAGTTTTTTTATTGAAGTTTTGAGACTAACGTTTCAAGTCCTTTAACAAACTTGTTTAGTAAATCACGCCCTGGTTGGTGACATTGAACG